ATTCGCCGGCCCAACGGGTTAGAGGCGTGCTAAGATCTCGCGCGCGGGTGGCGGCCCCTTGGGACTCCTGGACGACAAGTACCCTGGCCGATGCCCGGGCGATGCCTGGCTGACTCACCCAGGGCGCTCAAGGAGCGCACCAAGAAGGCGCCGGGACGCCCCATACACGGCCCAAGAGGCCCCGAGTCGCCGAAAGATCGCTCCAAGACGCTCAAGATGGTCTCCAGATGGCCCGAGGCACCCACGATGGCTTCCAGACGGCCCGCGACGCGTACAATACTCCCGAAGAGGTCACCAAGAGGCCTCCCAAGAGAGCCCAAAGAGGGCCCCGAGAGGCCAAAATCGTTAATTTTACAACGATGTTTGAATGATTTAGGCCTTCTCGCCTTTTCGGCGTTCCAACGCTCCAAGACGGCCCAAGAGGCCCCCAAGACCGCCCCAAGACTGTCCAGAAAGCTTCCAAGAGGGCCTCAAGACGGTCCAAGATGGCCCCACGACAACCGAAGAGGAGCCCAAGATGGCCAAAGAGGGCCCCCAAACGGCCCCAAGAGGTGTCCAAGGCGGGGACTAGGAACCGACAAGTCCAGCCTCCAGCCCCAAGAGGCCCCCAGGAGGCCCCAAGAGGCCCCAAGGGGCCCCCAAGAGGCACCCCAAGAAGCCCCAAGAGGCCCCCAAGAGGCCCCAAAAGGCCTCAACACGGCCCCCACAATGCCTCAAAACTGCCTCATGGAGGCCCCCAAGAGGCCCCAACACGGCCCCCCAGCGGCGAGGCAATATGGGCCAGCGGAATGGGCGACGCGATTAAATGAAGGGGCCCAACGGTCATTGACTGTGCGTGGCTGAAGTGGGATTCTGTGGTGCGGATTGCTGTTGCTTTGAAGGTCGCTGTTCTAAAATAGTCAATATTGTTGATTACCCCTCCGGTGACCATTGTACCTTTTAAAAGAATGCTCCTTCTGAAGCCCGCACCCTGTCCCACCGCGGTCTTGCCCAGCTAGGGCTCTTCGCGGCCGTCGCAGTCGCCGCCTCATGGGTTTTGCAAACACAGTTGCAGGTGGGTGAGTGGGATGATTGCGCGAGCAGTGGAGTTATCATTTTCAAGTTAGGCGGGGCCAATCGCACACGTAGATTGCGCCACAGATACTCCACAACATAAATTGCACTTCGAATGCTGCACGACAAATATTACGCAACATGCATAGCAAAACACGGATTGCACCGCGTCGATTTCTCAACACCGATTGCACCACACTTTTGCACCACAACGATAACACCACATATATATGTGTATATATATATACCTATACGACCACCCTGCGGGTGATAAGGAGGTGAGGGGGGAGGGGGAACCAACGTCCCCATCACAATCATCACACCATCATCATCACAATCATCATCACCATCATGCCCATCATCACCATCAGCATCGCACAATCGATCTGATTATCGATCTCACAGTCGAACTCCCAATCGATCTCACAATCGACGCCATCATCATCATCATCATCATCATCATCATCATCATCATCGTCATCATCATCATCGTCATCACCATCATCACCATCATCACCATTATTACCATCATCACCATCATCACCATCATCACCTCACAATCGATCTGACTATCGATCTCACAATCGAACTCACTATCGATCTCACAATCGATCTCACATTCGGTCTCACTATCGATGTCACAATCGATCTCACAATCGACGTCATCATCATCATCATCAACAACAACACCAACATCATCAGCATCATCATCATCATCATCATCATCATCATCGCCATCATCACCATCATCATCATCATCATCACCATCATCATCATCATAATCATCCACATCATCATCGGGACACCGACGGGACACCGACGGGACACCAGCGGGACACCGGCGGGACACCGCGCGCCACCTGCCGCCCGGAAGAGACAAATTGGGCCGGCCGCGCCTCAGCCACAGGGACACCGACGGGACACCAGCGGGACACCGGCGGGGCACCGCGCGCCACCGGCCGCCCGGAAGAGACACATTTGGTCCGGCCGCGCCTCAGCCACAGGGACACCGACGGGACACCAGCGGGACACCGGCGGGACACCGCGCGCCACCGGCCGCCCGGAAGAGACACATTTGGTCCGGCCGCGCCTCAGCCACAGGAGACTTTCCTCTCGCCCGCCCACGCAGCTTCGCCTCGCCTGCGCGAACGGCACGCACGAAGACGAAACCGAAATCGATTTCCCGGTAGGGGGGCTCTCCGTTCCACTTCGATCTCGCCCCCTCACCTCCGATTATAGCACCACTTGTCGGATGCTAGAAACACACTGTTCGGTGTCCACGCTGACTCGCAGGCATCTCTTTATACATACCTATACGACCACCCTGCGGGTGATAAGGAGGTGAGGGGGGAGGGGGAACCAACGTCTCACTCAATCGATCTCGCTATCGATCTCACAATCGATCTCACATTCGATCTCACTATCGATATCACTATCGATATCGCTATCGATCTCACTATCGATCTCACAATCGATCTCACAATCGATCTCACATTCGGTCTCACATTCGGTCTCACTATCGATCTCACAATCGATCTCACTATCGATCTCACAATCGATCTCACATTCGGTCTCACATTGGGTCTCACTATCAATCTCACTATCGATCTCACTATCGATCTCACAATCGATCTCACATTCGGTTTCACCTCCGGTCTCATTATCGATCTCACAATCGATCTCATTATCGATTTTCACTCGGCAATTTTCACTCGGCACCATCATCATCATAATCATTATTACCGTCATCATGTCACAATCGATCTGACTATCGATCTCACATTCGGACTCACTATCGATCTCACAATCGATCTCACATTCGGTCTCACTATCGATGTCACAATCGATCTCACAATCGACGTCATCATCATCATCATCATCAACAACACCAACATCATCATCATCATCATCAGCATCATCATCATCATCATGGCCATCATCACCATCATCATCATCATCATCACCATCATCATGATCATCAGCATCATCATCATCATCATCATGGCCATCATCACCATCATCATCATCACCATCATCATGATCATCATTATCATCATAATCATCCACATCATCATCGGGACACCGACGGGACACCGACGGGACACCAGCGGGACACCGGCGGGACACCGCGCGCCACCGGCCGCCCGGTGGAGAATCATTTGGTCCGGCCGCGCCTCAGCCACAGGAGACTTTCCTCTCGCCCGCCCACGCAGCTTCGCCTCGCCCGCACGGCACGCACGAACACGAAACCGAAATCGATTTCCCGGTAGGGGGGCTCTCCGTTCCACTTCGATCTCACCCCCTCACCTCCGATGTTTAGACAAACAAGGTAATCAAGAGAGCGATGGAGAGAGAAAGAGAGAGAGAGAGCGAGCGGGAACTACACAGATGCGCGGCCAGGGACGTATTCGGCAGATGGTGTGTGTGTGTGTGGATAAGTCGGAGGTGGCGATGAGCAGGATGAGGAATAGCATGCTGCTAAGGTTGTGGATGCCACGACAATGGACACCCTAACAGTCCTACCATTGAATGTTACAGGTGTTTAACATGTAGGAAAATGTCAGAATCATGTTTTAAACATGTGTACAACATGTTTAAGACATGGTTTAGACATCTGGAAACTTATTTGGTAACATGTTTCCTCTCTGTTGATCGTCCTCCAGGATGATCAGGAGGAGCAGAGAGGGGGGACGGGAGAGACGAGCCAGGAGGAGCACTAGAAGGAGAGGCGCAGCAGCGAGGGCGAGCATGGAGCGAAGCAGACGTGGGCCAGCGAGGAAAGGGTGGTGCGGGGGGCTGAAGGGATGGAGGAGCACAGGGAGGACGGCAGGACAGAGAAGGAGCATGACGAGGGATGATCTGCAGAAGGAGAAGGAGAAGAGTCAGGAAAGGTGGTGCAGGAAGATTGAGGGATAATAACGGGTAGATAGGAGGAAGGAGGGATGCATGGGTGAAGTGAAGGTGAAGAGAGAGAGAGAGAGAGAGCAGTCGCAGAAGCGCGGAACGAGAAACATTGACACTCTGGAAGGAACAGCGAACACTTTTGCCGGCTCCACCTCCGCTACCGCCTCCTGATACAGCAAAGTTAGCTGCCAGCTGTAATACCTCTGACAGCGAGCGGGCTCCGCGCCTACATCCTCATGCCGACATGGACGTCCAAAGGGGCGCCTTGATCTTCTATCTCCGATAATTCCTGGGTGCCCCATTCTGGAAGGGCGGTCTCTTGTTCGTAGCGATGGCTGCAACTCTGCCTCCCTCACTGCCTGGAGCCACCGTGCGACTGGTGAACCAACCCTGAGTACCAGGAAGCCAGGAGACCCTGAACGAGGCGACGGTCAATGGTTGCTCATCGCAGTTGAGCGCGTGGGCGCGCAAAGCTTCTATCGCGTACGAGAATACAAGCAATTGGGGTCCGATGCTGTTTTCGAAGGCGCCAGGCCACTGTCAGCTAATCGGATGTCCAAATCTGATGTTCAGGCGGCGCCAGGCAAGATCTGGCATGGGCAACTCGGGGATTTCTGAGGAGCAGGGGGAAGGTAGACTGTGACTCTGGGAAAAGGACGGTAGGAGAGAGGGAAACTGGGAGGGAGGGGGAAGAGGTATGGGGCATGAGAAGGAGGAGGGGGAGAAGGAAGAGGAGGAGGGGGAGGAAGAGGAGGAGGGGGGAGAGGAGGAGGACGAGGAGGAGGAGGGAGGAGGATGTAGGAGGAAGGAGGAGGAGGAGGAGCAGTAGCAGCAGCAGGAGGGAGGAGGGTGGGTGGAGGGGAGGGAGGAGGGAGGAGGAGGAGGAGGAGGAGGAGGGAGGAGGGAGGAGGAGGAGGAGGAGGGAGGAGGTGTAGGAGGAGGAGGAGGAGGAGGAGGAGAAGGAGGAGGAGGAGGAGGAGGAGGAGGAGGAGGAGGAAGGTCGGCGGGCCCAAGGGATGCACTGGCTGCCGCGTGGTCGTCCCAGAGCGCCCCGGATGGCCTCTGGGTGTCCTGGAGCCCTCTGGAACGCCTCGCTCGTGCCCTGGGGCTGCCAAGGTCCGGTTGGACAAAAAGGTACTGATACCGCTATTCCCTGGACCTGTGGGCGCGTCCTCATAAAACGAAGCCAGGACGAGGTTGAATTTGGACGAGGATAAATCGGACATCTCTCATTCCTGGCGGCTCTGGAGGATTATCGGGCGCCGCGGCCTTCTCAGAGCGTTCCGGAACGCTCTGGAACGGATTTCTCCTCCTCGCCCCGCCCGACCTGACCAGAATCCTGGAGCGAATCCGGCCGTGGCGACGAGGTAGGGGCATCAGTATCGGCAGCTTTTCCTCTCGTGGCGCTCGTGCCCCGGGGCTGCTCGGGCCGGGCGAAAGGGGGGGATAGCGAAGGGGGGGTTTCAGAATCAGCTCACGTAGCTGATTTTCCCGGCGCCTCCCGGCGCCCAAAGGCGGCTATGCATGGAGGAATGGGCCCCTCGGTGGGGCCAAAACCAACTGCATGCAGCAGATTTCGCGTCTCCCCTTTCCCAATCCCCCCCTTTCGCCCGGCCCGAGCTGCCCAGGCGCCCTGCCCCCGGTGCCGCGGGCCTACGTCGACCGCCTCCGACTGGATCTTCGTGAGCATCTTCATCCTGGCCTGGGCCTGCGGGCTGGCAGGGTTTCTCTCGCCGGGGAGCTGGACCGCGCAGCGCCCGCTCGGCCCGGCCGAGGCTCGCCCGGGCACCTCGAGGATGAGGAGGAGGGGGAGGGTGAGGGTGAGGAGGGGGAGGGGGAGGGCCGAGGGCACCCCTCCTCCAAGGCCACTCGTCTTTTTTTGTGGAGGAGGCGATGGAGGTGATACGAGATCGTGACAAGCCGAAGCCGACGGAGGGAGCAGGGGCAGGGGGCCGAAAGTTGGAGCATCGACGACGGCACTGGAGCGCCAACGGCCAGAGCCACCCGGGGAAGGGATCTCCAGGGCACCTCGCCCAGTGAGCGAGAGAGAGTCGCACCACCGCCCATGATGCATCGGGGGTCGTGGTTGCGAAGTCGGGTGTCGCACGCCCACCCGCCCGTCCAGGTGCGAACGGCCGCCAGCCTTCACGAGGGGGGGGGGCGCTGAGCGTCCCCCGAGCCCCCTCCGAGTCCACGCGCTGCAGCATGTCCCCCCCGAGGTAAAACAAGCGGAGGAGGGCGCCCTCAGAGAAGCATAACAAAGGGGCGATAACGCGCTGCAGTGTTCTCTGGGTCTTGATGCGAGGGTGCGGAGGGGCTGGAGAGAGCGCCGCCATTTTCTCGCCCCTGAGGAACTCCAGCCAGCTGGAGGTCGCAGGACCCTCCCGAGGCCCAGGAGAGGAGAGGCCTCCGCCGCCAGCTGGAGCGACAAGGCGAAGGCGGGTTCATTTCAGAACGTCGGCCATGGAGATTCTTCCCCATCCCGCGCCATGGGGGAGGAGGAGGAGGAGGAGGAGGAGGAGGAGGAGGGAGGAGGAGGAGGAAGGAGGAGGAGGAGGAGGAGGAGGAGGAGGAGGAGAAGGGGAGGAGGAGGAGGAGGAGGAGGAGGAGGAGGAGGGAGGAGGAGGGGGAGGGGAGGAGGAGGGAGGAGGAGGAGGAGGAGGAGGAGGAGGAGGAGGAGGAGGAGGAGGAGGAGGAGGAGGAGGAGAAGGAGGAGGAGGAGAGAAGGAGGGAGGAGGAGGAGGAGGAGGAGGGAGGATGCAGCGACCACCAGGAAAGAGGGCGGAGGAGGATGGGATGGAGGGACGTGGAGGAGGAGGAGGAGGAGGAGGAGGAGGAGGAGGAGGAGGAGGAGGAGGAGGACGTGGAGGAGGAGAGGAGGAGGGAGGAGAGGAGGAGGAGGAGGAGGAGGAGGAGGAGGAGGAGGAGGAGGAGGAGGAGGAGGAGGAGGAGGAGGAGGATCAGGGCTCCGCCTGTCTTGCCCCCGCCGCCCCCCCGACTCGTCCCGCCCCGCCTCCTTGGGGGCCCCCAAACCGTGTGGGCACAGACCGCGCGGGGGCCTGCAAATCCCATGGGACCTCATCGCGCGGCCCATCACCGCACGGCGCTCGGGGGCTTCAGAGGCCCTGGTCGCACGACACGGCCTCGGAAGACGACCCGAGCTCAAAAACCGTGTGGTGACCCCGGATTCCCACTGACTCACCACGCGGTGTGGTCACCACACCTTTTGGGACGCTAAGACGGCTCCAAGACGGCTCCAAGACAGGCCAGAGGGCCTCCAAGACTGCCCGAAAGGGCCCCCCAAGGCCCCCCACGAGCCAAGCATACATTCTTGTTCTAATGTGTGTATGCTGTCGTTTCTAAGGGTTTGCGTCGCGTTTGCCGCCTCCCAACGCTCCAAGACGGCCCAACAGGCCTCCAGCATCGCCCCGAGACGGCCCCTACGCCATGAGGCATCCAAGAGCACGTCAAGAGGCCCGCGAGAGGCACCCCACGAGACCCTCACACAACCCAGGCACGGTGGCGGGGTGGGCCAAAAAGCACTGGATGGAGGCGGCACGGTGGTCTGCCTCGTCTCCACGCTCGAAGTGCTCCCCAAGCCGCTCTGGGATAACCGTGGGCCTGCCTGGGTGCGCTTCTCGGCTCCCGCGTGGACTTCCCGGGGTCTCCCGATACCCCCTCTAGGTCGGCGGAGCCTCCCGTATGGCATCTCGAATACAGTCGAGGCGTTGACCTAAGGAACCCTAAATAAGGAACGAGGCGCCTTTTCTCCATAAGTTAAACTTCGATGTCCCATCGAACATTTCAAGAACACCTTAGGCAAGGTGTGGAACAATTAAGGAACACCGAGCCCCTCCCCGACGAAAAGGGTTCCTTTTTCGGCGCCCCGACTGTACATGCGAACATGGCACATTCACATACCAGACAAGGCGCGTGATGCAGTGCATGTGTATGGGGCATACATCTGCGCCATGGCAGGTGCAAGGAAACGACACAATGCAGAGGCACGCGTCCAAATATACGTTCCACACAAGTGGCGTGCGCAACTGAAAGGCAGGCATCACCAACATACGCAAGGGGCAGACGCAAATGAATACACAGAGAGCGGACAGAAACGACGGAAAAAAAGACAATGCGAAACGCAAAGGACGCGCAACCCAACTGCGCAACCAGCATACACGAATACCGCCTCCATCCAGATGCCGCGCGCAGGCAGACATACCAACAACAACTATAACTGAGTGACTACAATGAGCACGTGATGCATAAGGAACAAGCAAATGCAGCCCGCAGAGACAATGCACACAGCTCGCATGTGCACGTGGCCGACGCAATGGGCAGACACACGAAGCAGACTTCGAACTTACACGCTGCAGCTCTCTACTTCAGCTCGTGTGTGCCTCCGAGGGGCTCCTGGAGGAATCAAGCTTGGCCGTTCGGGGATGGCTGCTGGGGCTGATCTCTCACTCCGTTTGGCAGGCATCCTCTCCCCTCTGTTTCACAAATGATCCTCCGCTCCGCACCCCTTCGTACGTCAACGCGCCTGATCATGATTTCTGGATGGGGCCTCCGAGGATCCCCGAAGCGTAAGTGATGAACGGAGCGCCTTACATGTGCGGATAGGAGTGAGGGAGCGGCAAATGCTGCCCCCCACGTGTTGCTCCGAAACACTGGCCCCGTGCATTGCCGCCCATGTATAAACCCCAGGTGTTGGCCCCTGGTGTTGTCCCAAGTTCGGGTCGGGCGAAAGGGGGGGATAGCAAAGGGGGGGTTTGAGAATCAGCTCGCGTAGCTGATTTTCCCGGCGCCTCCCGGCGCCGGAGGCGGCTATGTATCGAGGAATGGGCCCCTCGGTGAGGCCGAAACCAGCTGCATGCAGCAAATTTCGTACCCCCCCATTTCCCAATCCCCCCCTTTCGTCCGGCCCGACAAGTTCTGCCCCCACGTGTTGCCGCCAACCACTGCCCCCCGAGGCCGAGCCCTCCATCCAGCCGTGCTGGCCCTCCTCACTCCGACTGCTGCACGCGTCGTGTCGGATCCATCCTCCTCTTCCTCCCTCCTCGTGGTCATGGTCGTGGTCGTGGTCGTTGCCCTCGTCCAACCTCCTCATCCTCCTGCTCCTGTCCTCCTTCCTCCACCTCCCTGGCACCAGATCTGGCCTGCTTGGCCATCTTTTTGTGGCCATGCCCAAATCTCGCGATGAACTGCTTCAAGTGCGCCACCTGCGCAGGGTGCACTCACGCTTGGGGACAACACCTTTGCGCAGCCTCATCCCCCTCTCCTCTTGCTTCCATATTCTGTCATCCCTGGCCCCTTCTCTCCCCAACATGCACCCACCTCAAGCCTCCTCCTCCACACCATCTTCACTCCCTGGGGAAACCAAGAGGTACCGACACCGTTACTACCTGGACCTCTCCCGGGGTGTGCTCCAACTTCGATTTCGAGGCGAATCCAGCGGTGGCGACGAGGGCGGCCCAGGAGGCCCAAAAGGGGGCAAACGAAGGAAGGGTAGCAGCAGGGATACCTTCAGAAGGAGCGGGCCTTCTCAGAAGGCTCAGAAGTTCCCCGGCCTTCTGAGAAGTTGCCTGAGCTTTCTCCGAAGATACAGAACACCTCTCAGAAGGCCGGAGGATTTCTGAGAAGCCCAGCCGCCTTCCGAGACGGCCTTCTCCTTCTCACTTCCCCCCCTCGCTCGCCGCCGATCCTCCTCCGCACCATCTCCCCTCTCCTACTCTTCCTTCCTGCGCCCCCGCCCCCTGCTCCTGCACCGCAGGCTGCGGGCACACTAAGACGAATCCAGGACGAGGATAACATCGGGTGGGGATAAGTCAAGAATATCTGAGACCCGACGGCTCTGGAAAATGTATCGGACGTCGCGGCCTTCCCAGCGCCTTCCAGGACGCTCTGAGGGCGTTCGGGAACGGATGTTTGCCCCCGTCCTCGCTCCCACCCTCCGCGGAACAGATCGTGGCTGGTGAATTACGCCCTCCTCACCCTCGCTCCGCCGGAAGCACAGGCCCGCGGCGAGTCCTTCAGAGGGGCGCTTCCCGCGGCGCGGGTTATGCCCTCGTCCCCCGCTCCGCCCCGCCCTCGCGGCTGCGCGGCGAGCGTTCTCCTTCGGCGCGGGGCGCCCGTGTAACAGCGCAGGGCCGAAGGGCGAGTCCTTCAGAGGGGCGCTTCCCGCGGCGCGGGTTATACCCTCCTCCCCCGCTCCGCCCCGCCCTCGCGGCTGCGCGGGGAGCGTTCTCCTTCGGCGCGGGGCGCTCGCTGGAAGCGCATGCGTAGGTCGGGCATGTCCCCCTACGGGCGGATTTTGGGACGAGAGTGTTTAAAACATACGGAAAAACACAATTGCCAACAACTACTAGAAAGTGTTTGAATAACCTACACGATTGTCACAACTGTCAACATTTTTTTTTGAATGTTTGATCGATTGACACAATTGTCAACACGGACTATTTTCACTATGTTTGAATTTTCTTACTGTGGAGGGGCATGCCCGACTGAAGCGCAGGCCCACGGCGAGTCCTTCAGAGGGGCGCTTCCAGCGCTTCGGGTTATACCCTCCTCCCCCGCTCCGCCCCGCCCTCGCGGCTGCGCGGCGAGCGTTCTCCTGCGGCGCGGGGCGCTCGCCGCAAGCGCAGGGCCGAAGGGCGAGTCCTTCAGAGGAGCGCTTCCCGCGCTGCGGAGCAGGTCGTGGCTGGTGCGCTGTTGTACCCCCCCCCCCGCGCGCTCCGCTCCGACCTCGCGGCTGCGCGGGGAGAGTTTTCCCCCGGCGCGGGGCGCTCGCCCGAAGCGCAGGCTCATGGCGCGCCCTTCACGGGGGCGCTCCCCCAGAGATCCCACGCTCCAGCAGCAGACATGGGAGCGGCGGGTGCTGGGCCGTCTTCGGCCTCCGGGGGCCCTCGCCGGGCCTCGGGACCGTCGAAAGCGCACTGAGGACGCAAAACCGGCCCCGGGGAAGTGGCCCGGACCTCCAGTGGCCCACGAATCGGAGCGGCCGGACGCCTCGGCCTGAAACGCAGGCTCACGGCGAGACCTTCGCGGGGGGCGTTTCCCGCAGTGCAGGGCAGTTCTTGGCTGCTGAGTTTTGAGCGAGGGAGGAGGAGGAGGAGGAGGAGGAGGAGGAGGAGGAGGAGGAGGAGGAGGAGGAGGAGATTCTTGGCTGCTGAGTTTTGAGCGAGGGGGGGGGGCACCTGGGACGGGAAGGTGTGCTGCAGCATCGCCGAGGCATCCCGGGTCTGCTCTGGTCCTGGCCCTCCCTTCTCTTCGCAGCCCTCTTCAAATGTGCTCTCCGCCCTGCCTCGTTCTCCGCCTTTGCCATCTCGTCCTCGGGGCGCCCCTCGCCGTCCTCGTGGACAAGGTGGTCGGCTCCACAAAATAGAAGGCAGAAGCTCCCCCCGATCATAAGAATCACCCCGACACGCGAAGCCGTTCAGTAAACGCACCCACAGAAGGAACCGAACAGGGCAGGGCTGCTTAGCAAACGCCCCAGGCCGTTTAGCAAACGCCCCAGGCCGTTTAGCAACGGCTTTGCTAAACGCCGTTTAGCAACGCCGTTTAGCAAAGCCGTTGTTTCCGCTCTCGACCCTCGCCGCCCTCGTGGACCAGGTGGTCGGCTGGCTCCACAAGAGACGACGGCACGGGCACAGGCGAGGCCCCATGCCCGTCCGGGAGGCGCCGACCACCCAGACCTCTGGCGACAAAAAAAAAACAGTGGGAAAAAGCACACACACAGTCTGCGGGACAAAAAAACACAACAAAACACACACACACACAGTCTGTGTGCTTTTCCCACACTGTGTGTCTTTCCCCACAGACATCACCACGGGACGCACCCGTCCAGTCACAACAAGCGGCAGCCAGCGCAAGCCCCTTCGGAAGGCCGCGAGGTCTTCGTCGGGGCGAGCGTGGCGCGCCGCCCCCCGGGGGGGGCCCTCCCCGCCGGGGCCCACAGGGCTGGCAGCACCTGCGCAGGTGGCGGCGCCTCAAGGAGCCGCCGGGGCATCGCCCCGATGAGCGTGAGACGCCGCTGTGCTGGACCTCTCCTCCTCCTCCTCCTCCTGAGGAGGGAGGGGAGAGGAGGGAGTCTGGGTTTGCGTGAGGCGTCGCCGCGCTGGACCTCTCCATACCCTGCGAGCATGGCGACGGTAGCGCAGGTGGTATACGAGGCTGAGAAGTATACACACCACCATCACCTCCCTCACCCCCTCCCTCTCCCAGAAAAGAGTGGGGGAAGAAAAGGGTGGCGGAAGAAGGGGAAATGGAGGCGGTGGTGGTGTATAGTCTCGGGACCCGCATGGTACTCCCCAGGGAAGCTGCGAAATCTCGCGTGAAGAATCTAAATGCTCGTAAGACGTCGCTCCGCTGGGCCTCCCAAGAACCTGGGTGATCCGTGGCAGCTGCCCGAGAGGCCGCTTCTCCGGGAGCGGCGCGGTCTCGTGCGGACTTTTGCCCGGGCCGTCGCTCCGCTGGACCTCCCAGGAGCTGCACAAAGGAAGCCCCCGCCCTTGAGGTACCACGCAGTACATAGACATGCCAGCATGAAGTGACGCTTCCACGTTCTGGAGGAATCCATAGGGCCGCCCAACGTGCCACTCGCATCGGTGTCACCATGCAGATCGCACATGTCTGGTGTTCGATCGCGCGAGCAAAAAGAATGCCAAACGGAGAAAGTGATTTAGATGGACGTGACAGTGACAACATAGGATCAGAAGGAATGCGACAACCGTCACTCTGGAGGCACCAGATCGACAGGTGGACAGATGGACCACGGGACACCCCGGACACATACATTGAAAGTTGATTGCGATGTCCGTTCGGCGGTGACGGATTCAAACATCGAAACATCGATGGTAGGTTCGAGTTGGCGGATGTGGAATGAGATACTTGCGGATGGGCAATGAAATCCACACCAACACATCGAGATGCCACACGTTGCTCAACTCCTTGGAAACTCGCACTCCACCCCGTTCGCAACACCTTGGTATCGTGATCTCTCTTGAAGCAGACCTGAAGTCAAAACACCTAGATGCCAGGTTTGCGAGTCCTTTTCCAAGGGCATCTGGAACACTGGCACGTCGCTTACCGCGTTCGGGCGAAGGTTGGCTCTCATCGGGAAAACGGAAACCCCAAATCGGGTGGCAATCCAGCAGAACTAAAAGGCGGCCGTGGTCTGAACTGGTTGGGACCTCGGAGTGAGAAAAACACAAATCCGCTCAAAATCGGTCCCTGGCCGGGTCCATCTGGTGCAGTCTTTTAACCCCATGGAATCGTTTCTCGCGGTCCCGGGGTCTGAAAACGGCCCCGGAAGCCGAACACGACAAAACCTTCCCGAACTCAGGACCTCGAACCTGCCCCCTTCCTGCCGGCCTGGACCAGTGCTGGGCCACCTCAGACCCCCAGGCGGCCCTAGAGCAGGACTGTCCCACGTTTAACTAGGGCGGCGTTTCGCCCCGGGTAGCTTGCACGCAGAACCCGCCACCGCACCCCGGAGGCAGACCATAGCGGCAAATATGGCGATGCCGCGACTCCCTGGACCTCTCGGGGGGTGCGTTATGACAAGGGTTTCGGGGCGAATGTGGCCGTGGTAATGCGGGAAGGGCAGCGGCATTCGTCTCTTCTCCTCCCCTGAATATTGATTTTCAAACCGTTGGACTCGAAAGTTGACAGAACGCCCTTTTAGCAAAACGCGATGTGCTGAAAGGTGCCAGGAACACTCCACGCGCGCACGGCACCGCATTCCGAGTGGATCCCATCGTTCACCCGCATGGCAGCTGATCGACGTTCAAAAATCCGCCGACCCCCGCTTGTCAGGGGTGAACAGGCGTGTGGGGCATTTGGCTGTCCCTCTCCCCCTTTCCCCCCCCCAGGGGTCCAACGTCGGATTAGAAGGAAGAGGGGGCTGGGTGGGAGGGGGGGGGCGAGGGCGGGGGGTGGGGGGGGGGTATACGGCAGGTTCGTGTCGTGTCGACCCCGGCGTTGGTTCCTGACACCGCGGGGATCGTTCAACCTTGAACGATCGGCCCTCTCCGAAACGTCCCAATCGCTCCACATCGAGCGATTCTGGGTCCCCCGCGGCGTTCAACGTTGAACGCCGCTGGCGGGGTCGCCGCTGGTCGACACGACACGCACCTGCCGTACAGGATCTCCTCAACGCACCCCGCAAGCTTCCGGGGCCTCCAAAGAGCCTCAGGATGGCCCGAGAAAGCTGAAACAGAGCGCCACCACAACCCCGAGAGAGCGTCGAGACGGCCGAGGGTCGCCCCAAGACGGCCCAAGATGGCTTCGAGACGGCCCACGAGCCTTCAAATAGGGAGCCCACAAAGGACGTACGCGCCCAACTGTGTACATGAACACGGCCCCTCGATTCGCGAGACCGGCCGTGTGATACGAACATTTGTGCAATGCGTGCTCTCGAAACCAGCGTGGATTCATGTACATGTACGTCCTTCTTTCACTCCTGATCAAAGAGGCACGAGAAAGTTCCCAGACCCCCGAGAGGGCCCCAAGAGGCAAAGTCGTGGCAGTCTCGATCGGAAACGTATCTATTTGAGCATACCCACCCTTTTCGCCTTGCCGCAGGGGCCCCCCAGAAGCCCCAACGGAGCCCCAAGAGGGCCCTAAGAGGGGCCCAAGAAGGGGGATACGATCTTATGTTTCGAGCCTCTCCCCAAGATGGCACCAAGAGCCCCAAGAGGCGACCAGAAGAGGCCCCAAGAGGCTCCCAAGAGGCCCCCAAGAAGGCCCGAAAGGCCCTCCAGCTGCCCCCAAAGCCCTCCAAGATGCCCCTGAGAGGTATCCAAAGAGGCCATCAAATGCATCGAAGAAGCGCCTGACCCACCAGATAACTTCCAAGATTGTCGCAGGCACTCGCTCCTTCGGGGGGTATCAGCGACATGGCGTAAACCACTTGAATAACCGAATGTATCCGGCGAAACGCATGTCGATTAGCGAAAACGGCTGGGGATTGCACTGGCACGCTCGAATGCCGGTGTCGAGTGAAGCGGTGCAGATGTACGCAGTCGACTTGTCTGGATGGGCACTCTCTCAATACAGTCAATCCATATCATAAGGATGGGCGGTAAAGATGCAAGGGCCTTTGAAGGCCATGTGAACGATTTTCGAACGAGATTGACCAGTCAAAGTCGCCAAGAATGGGCCTAGGATGCAAGGATGCAAGGGTATCCTTGGGAAGGTTGCCCATCCTCACTATGCGGGTTGACTGTACCCGATGGACGCCTGGGGACGGGGCACACTCGAACGCCAATGTCCAGGGAATCCATGCAGACTTCTTCAGTCGACTGGTCCGGGTGGGCGTCCTCTTCATGTCCGACGCACGTCTGGGGGTGGTGACTGGAGAGACCCCGAGGTACTGTCAGGTCGGGCGTGTCCTCTTACAGGCAGATTTTCGAAGACACATAAAACATACTCAACACATATCCAAAACAAAAAACAGAAGAGCACGAACAATTGTCACCATACTATTCTTTATATATTATTTACGATTCCGCGTGTAGAGGGACATGCCCGACCCACAGTTACTTATACCGCTACTCCCCTGACCTCTCCTGGGGTGCGTTCTGGCCAGCATTTCGCGGCGAATCCAGAGGTGGCGACGAGGGCTTCCACAGGAGGGCCAACTCTGCAAAAACAAGGCAAGGGCAGCGGCATCGTTATCTCGTCCCATTGTGATCGATCGATTCTCGATCCTTGGTCGACCAAACCTCGGTCCTCGATCGACGATCGATCAATCCGGTAGCGAAACAAGCCTCCCCCTGAAGTGGTAAATCCCCAACCACACCTGACCCAGGCCCCGTCGACACTGCGCCAAAGCTAACCTGACACATTAAAGCTAAAGTGACCAACGGCTCGGCGACACCAGTGTGTCACGCGCGCGCTGCAGCAGATGACGAACCAGAATGGGTCGACACCGCAACATGCCATGCACAAGTGCCAACTGTGTCACTGATCCCTCCTCGTCTCCAAGGAAGACTCTGGCCGACGCTGAAGCGAGAGCAGCTTTGAGCCTCGTCTGAGCAACTGCGGCGGGGAAGGGGGCGGAGGAGGAGGAGGAGGAGGAGGAGGAGGAGGAGGAGGAGGAGGAGGCGGCGGAGGAGGAGGAGGAGGAGGATGAGGGGGAGGAGGGTGAGGAGGAGGAGGAAGAGAAGGAGGAGGAGGAGGAGGCAGCCGCCTTCCGTCCCTGCTGCTGCGCCATCGCCTCTCCGGGCGCGGCGGCTGCGGGCGGGGAGGCCGACGGGCCGCTCGAGTGGGCGGGGCGTCCTCTTGGTCCTCTCCCTCCCGACCCTCCACCTCCACCTCGCCTCCACCCTCGACCCTCCACCTCGAGCTGAACCTCCCAGCGCGGCAGTGCTGCCCTCCCCCTCGACCCTCCACCTCCGCCTCCTCTGAGGTCCTGACGCTGCGGTGTTGCCACAGCGGGCGAGCTTGTCTTGCTCCGGGCCCCCGGCAGCATCACGCATCGATCTGGCCCGAGCCATCACGCAGGAGGATGACTCTGTTCGGGCCTCTGGTCGGGTTCATGCGCGATGCTGCAAGGCTTTCGCAACGTCGGATCTCAGGGTCTCCCTCCTCCACCCCATCCCCTTCCTCCCTCTCCTCCTCCTGCTGCTCCACCCCTTCCTGCTCCTCTTTGTCCGTTTGTAGCTTGAGGCAAATAATCGCAGCAGCTTATCCCCCAGGGAAAGAAGCAAGAAGGGGGAATACATCATGGGGTCCCAAACAACAGGTGGACCTCTCCTCCTCCTTCTCCTGCTCCTCGTCCTCGTCCTCCTCCTCCTCCTCCTCCACTCTCACCTCTTCCTCCCGCTTTTTTCCACGTGTTCCTCCTTCTCCCTTCCTCTTCCTACTCTTCCTGCCCCTTCCGCCTCCTCCTGCTGATCATCTCCCGCCTTCGCCGTCTCCACCCTCACTCCTTCTGCTTCCTGCTCCACCCCAGATCGCCGGATTTTCAGGGCGAGTGTGGCTAGGGCGGAAGCGTGAGGGGCGGGCGGAGAGGGCCTGGAGGGGCAGGAGGAGCAGCTGCGGCGGGAGGAGGAAGGTGGCAAGAGAAGAGGGAGGCGAGAAGGGGGCAAGGATGCGAAACTAGGGCAGGAGAAGGTCGGAATGGGGAGGGGTGGCCTGGGGGATTCGGCCCGTCCGCCTCCTCTTTCTCCTCCTCATCCTTCTCATCCCCTGGTCTACTCCACGTCTCAAACGCCTTCTCCATTCTCTTTGCACGTCCCCCCTCCCCACTGCCCCCATTTCATACCCCCTCCCCCTCCCCCTCCCCTCGCCTTCCCTCCCGCATCGCCATTCCGCCTTACCCTCCCCCTCCCCTCGCCTTCCCTCCCGCATCGCCATCCCGCCTTACCATGCCCTTCCCACTCGGCAGCCTCAAGGCTTCAAACAATTAGACTGAGACTCGTTTCGCGTGTGGGCTCGTCAGTCCGCTCGATCCGCAGACGGCTTCAATGTACGAATTAATTGCAATCAAGACGCTGTGGCAATACTATTTGGCTCCGCGTGTAATTGTGACACCCTGCCCACCCAAGGCCAGAGCAGCGAGAAATCTTTGTGACAACCTGCCGACAAATCAGATGCATCGACGAAGCTGCAATATACCCTCCCGTCCAAATCCCCCTGGTCATACGTCCCTGCGAGCCTTCAATCTCACAGCAAGGAGCGCCCATGTGAAAGACCAACACTCCATGGGCCTACCGTTCATGCGACGGCCCCGCTTTTGAAAAGGAACTACCATGCATCCAAGAATGCGACGAGGTATGATCATACAATTGAACGAGGTGTCCGGCGAGATCCCCATTCAAAGAAGGATCGGCCCGCACAATTCTAGACTCCTGGACACGAACATCGAGGAAGAAAAAAGAACCACCCTCAACCTGTGCAAGTTCTACGTATGTTCAAGCTCGGGGTCTTCTGGTTCCAAGAATTCCCAAGCAAGAGCCCCATGTTGGAAACGGCCTGTGGTCCGTCCGTGTATCTGCGGCAAGTTTTTTAAATACGTATCTGTGCTGCGCAGGGGTGAGAGTCCCAGCTTGAGAAGCAAACGCCCTCCATCCTTGCAGCTACACTTATGAACGAAATCGCGCTAAAGCAAGAACTCCATTCTGAAAACGATCCGCATTCAATCCGTGTACCTGCTGCAGGCTTGTACAAAGAATTTGCGCGGCGCTAGGGCGAAATCCGCCATTTGAAAAGGAACCGCCCTCAATCCGCGCAACTGCTCTTTGAAAGCGAATGCGCGCGGCGCTTAGGCGAGAACCACACTTTGAACACGACCCGCCCTCCGTCTTCATACATGCTGCAAGCTTTTGAACAAAATCTGCGCGGCGCTCAGGCGAGAGCCCCGCGTTGAGCACCACCTGCGCTGAATCCTTGCAGCTGTTGCGCATCTCAAGCATCCGGAATCCTAGTGCTAAGGGAATCTCAAGGGAAAACGCCTGACCCGCTCTGCCAACACGCCCGGGGACGCGACAGGGATGAGTTATCTCTCAGAAGAAAGGGCTTGACGACGACAAGACAAGACAAGACAAGCGCTCCGAAGAACCTCCACTGATCGACTGAGCTACCTCGATCTACTCTAGGTTCGGAGGATAATCCCGAAGGGGACGGAAAGCGGGGCGAGGTGGACCTTCGGAGCATCGCCGAAAGCTAGCGTCCCGCCCCGAGGACCGCTTGACGAGGAGGAGGGGAAGGAGCAGAGAACACTTGTGGTGAATCTTAAGCCGACCGAAACGGTGTTCCCCCCTGGGGGGGAGAAGGCTCTCCTTGTCCGCCACCGTGCCTTCAGTACGTAGTGGAGTGCCCCAGGGCTCGTGCAGTTCTGAGAGCCCATGGGATTCTGAAAAGGTTGCAAGACTTTTAAGGGCCCGGGCCACAACCTTCCCAAGCGCTCTTGGGCGCGACCGGGCGCTCTCGGGGAGTTCAGCGTAGGCCTCCGGGACAGTGCCCCCGCCCAGGGAGGCCACAAAACGAGCCAGGGCAGTCCCGAGAAGGTCCCAGGAGGGTCCAAGAGGCCTCCGATACAGCCCAAAGCTTCAAAGACAGCCAAGATGGCCCCAAGATGGCCGAAGAAGCCTTCGAGACGCCCCGAGAGAGCCAAGAGCCTTCCCAAGAGGGCCGCGAGAGGCCAAAACCATTGGTTTCCCATTGGTGTTCCAATGTTTTGGGGGTTCTCCACTTGTCCAGCTTCCGACGCTCAATGACGTCCCAAGAGGCCCCGAAGACCGCTCCAAGACGGCCTTTGAGGCCTCCACGAGGGCCCCAAGACGGCCCAAGAAGGACCCGAACCGGCCCAAGAGGGCTCAAAATGGCCCCATCACGGACCCAAGAGGGGCCCAAGATGGGGAACACGTACCGAACATCCGAGTCTTCCGCCACAAGAAGCGCCCAGGAGGCACCAAGAGGCCCCTACGAGGCCCCCAAGAGACTCAAAAGAGAACCCAAAACAGCCCCCCAGAGGCTCCAAAAGTGCCTCCAGGAAGCCCCCTGAGAGGCCTCGAGGAGATCACAGCGAACATCCAAGAGGCCTCAGACGCACAACCCAGGCACGGTGGCGGGATGGGCCGAGGGACAATTCGGGTTTCCACGCAAGAGTCTGCTGACCCCGCTTGCCGAAACACAACGGCGTGTGCGACAGGTGGCCGCCTCCCTCCCTCAGTCCCGAAGAAGTCTACAAGGGGAGGGGGGAAGGGGGCGGGGAGCTCGCCAGCGCCCCTCCGGGGCCTCGGAGCCTAGACATGCATCTCCTGTGGCCTCTGAGATGCCCCAGATGCCTCTATACCCGACCCGCGAGGCCCTCAAGACGCCTTCAACGAGAGCTCCGAGAGGACCCCCGCCAAGAGGCAAAAGAGTCGTGGACCTGCACAATTCGGGGCTGGACAGACCCCCCTTTAGCAAAACGTGGTTTAGGTTTAGTGAAAACGACCTGAGCCCCAAACCTGGCGGGCGCAAGCCTGGAAAAAGAACGGCCACGGCGCCCTCTCGAGAACCGAAAACGGACAATTCACTAATCGACGTGTCACTGTTGGGGGTTCTGTCCACCCCTGAACAATAACTGGTTCAACATGTTTGCATATGTTTGTACCCTCGCCTTTCCGAACTCCCGCAGGCCATACACGGCCCGCGAGGCCTCCCCAGGCTGGCCCATCACGGCCCAAGAAGCCTCCGAAGAGGGAGGACGAGTAAACAGTAGACGGAGGAGGGCGAGCAGGAGCAGGGGCAGCAGAGGTCTGGCATTCCTGGAGGAGCTCGTCCAACTTGGGCCTCGCGGGCTTCGGGACTTTCTGGCCTCGGTGATTCGGAGGCCTGGTCCATCCGCACAGCAACCTTGATGTGGCGCGGGTTGGGCGTCGCGTGGGGGGGCGGTAAATGTGGTGGGGAAAGAAGAGTTGCTCTGTCGAGCCCCAAAGGACCCTTCTGGGCTCGAAAGGGCCCCTTCAGGGGCCTCCTTCTTGTCGCCCCCCAAGTACGCGACGCCCAAGCAGGGTGGACTGGAAAGCGGCCGTGCGCAGCTTGCCTGAGAGGAGATGGATTGCCTGGCTCCCGGGCGCAAGAGGGCGAGGACGGCAGCGGGGTGCGCCTCTTGGTTCGCCATATTCTCGGCGCGCACGCGCAAGAAGGTGTCGTAGTTGCCCCCGTAATACAGCAGCCTCTCCCGCCGATTGCCCGAGCGGTGCTCTCGCAGTCCGGTCGTTTGAGGGCCCCGGAAACGGCAGGGCCGTTTTTTCACCGTTTCCAAAAAGATGTCCCTCGAAAATGGAAACGGCCAAAAAACGGCAACCGGAAACGGCCAAAAAACGGCTTCAGGATTGGAACCGGAGCCGGAACCGGTCGAAAAACGGCGACGGAACCGGTAAAAAAAACGGCGTCGGAACCGGCAAACAAACGGCAAAACGGAACCGGTAACAAAAACGGCCCTGTCGTTTCCAGGGCCTACTAAGGTCCGGTCCCCCGCGGACGCCTCTGGCTCTCGAGGTGCACACGAGGCTCGCGCGCTGACGCCGCCTGCAGACTCCAGGGCCGGAGCGCCAACCTCCTCCTCCTCTTCCTCCTCATCATCCTCCTCTTCCTCCTCCTCCTCCTCCTCTTCCTCCTCCTCCTCTCCTCCCTCCTCCTCCTCCTCCTCCTCCTCCCTCCTCCTCCTCCTCCCTCCTCCTCCTCCTCCTCCTCCTCCTCCTCCTCCTCCTCCTCCGCAGTCGCACCTAAAGAGTCACCAGGAACTGCTCCCACCCGCTCTTTTCAAGGAAAAAGTGTGACGAGCCGCCTCGACAACGAAATGGAGTGAACCTGTGGTAACTCGGCGGCGAGCCCGGGGGGAAGTGAGAAGGGGCGGGCCTTCTGGGAAGGCTCCCGCACGAGGCCCCAACACTCTTGCAGTAAGCCCCGAGAGACCAGAGGGTATCCCCACGAGGCCCCCAAGAGGCCCGCAAGAGCCTTCCGAAGGCTAGAATCTTTCAGTTTCCTGAGGACAATGTGTGGTTCATCCATGCGCCACCTTCGGACGTCCATCAGCCTTCTGAGAAATTCCTGAGCCTTCCACGACGACGCTCCAAACTTCTCAGAAAGCCGGAGCGCTTGAGAAGCCCCGCCGCCTTCTGATAAGGCCTCCTTGATCTCACTTCCCCCCCTCGCTAGCCGCCGAGTAACGACGGCCCCTTTATGTTTCTCCTCATTCCCCTCCTCTTTCCGCATGCTCTCACAAGCGCGCGAACTCCCAGCTCTAGCATTCAGGAACCAGCGGCTCGATCGGGCACGCACCCGGAGCACGTCTGTTGGCCTCCCCCAGCCCCATGGGGTGGCAAGGCGTGTGTTGTGTGGTGCGTGCCCCCTGACCAGCATGTACATGTTCTCTGGCGGTTCAAGGGGGGGGTGCAACTTGTATCGGCGGCGAGCGAGGGGGTGAAAGAGAAGGAGAAGAAGGCGGCGGGGCTTCTCAGAAGCGCTCTGGCCTTCTGTGGCATCGCGCAAAAGTCAAAGAAATAATCGATGGGGTGCTATCTATGGTCCCGATGAGGGCGACGTCCTACACAGACCACGTGCCACAGACCACGTGCCACCCCGTCACCAGTGTATGCTGCGAACCGCAGAAGTGCTACGATCGGAAACTTTGTGCTCAGCGTGTCGCGGCGGCGGCCCCAGCGCCACTCTATGCCCTGCAAGCGGGTAGCGTGTCGCTCAGCTCCGCGGGGCGGGAGGCTGAGGAAAAAGCGGGACGCTGACATTTTGGAACCAGGACGCGGAAAGCGTGCCGCGCCGAAGCGTGGGGGGGCCAGGACCGGCGGAGCGACACGCTAACCAAGAATTCCCGACCGTAAGTGTCTCGACTTTCCCGGCGCTCCTGGGGCCAACGGAGCGACGTTGTACGCAGATTCGGTCTCGCCCTGCCAAGCTTCTTTGGCGGGCTTGGCACATCTGCGCGGCAGAAGCAGGAATGGCAGCCAGAGCATCAGGAGGCCCGTGCCACGCAAGGGCCTCTTTCTTCTGCAGAAGATCGTGGCCGTGGTCGTCTCGTTGAGGAACGACCTGGGCGCCCCGCGCGATTGCTGGCGCGTGAGCAAGAGGGAAACACGGGCAGATGCCGCCATGGCGGGGTGAAGAGGGGAGGGGTGCCAGGGAATAACAGCCAGGAGGGAGCATAGGAATGACAGAAAGGGGGAGGGCGGGTTGTGAGGGGAAGGGAGGGGGAAGAGAGGCGTGATCAAACGGGAGGCGGATGAGGAGAAGGAGGGAAAAAGCGGGGAGCGAACGATGGGATCACACGACTGGTCAGTGTTTCTAAGGCGGCCCTCTCAATTCACTTCTCTCCTCCCCAATGCCCCTTCACCGACCCTCTCATCCCCCCCCCGCATGCGCCTCCCCCGTTCACAATTACCCAACAATTACACAATATGAAATACTCTCTCCCCTGACTCTGTCTGAAAGACGTTCGGCCCGCTCGTTGCGAATCTTGATCCCGCTGCAGCGCTGACCTCATGTCTGCGTTTCCGCTCGTTCCGAATCGTGCTCCCGCTGCAGCGCTGGCCTCATTTCCGGGCTTCTGCTCGTTCCGAATAGTGCTCCCGCTGCAGCGCTGGCCCCATTTCCAGTGCCATGCCATGGCATGCAATGCAATGCTATGGTGTGTTCTGACGTGCGATGCCATGCCTTCAGCTGCAATACCATGATATGCAGTGCTTGACTACGCAGTGCCACCGCATGCTATGTCAGGCTACGCGTTGATCTTCGACGCCATGTCGTGCCATCTAATGCTGTGCCATGCTGCGACATCCGACTGCGCGAATAGAGAGGATATCTAAGCCATTGTAAGGGATGGGAGGGAGGGGTAGGACGCCATGTAAGACGTTTGCGAACCAATATTGATATACATACTGCTAGAACCATCGCGCGCTTCGCGCGCGCTCAAAGTCTAGGCGGAGAAGTATCGGCGGAACCTGCTGCACTACCACGCGTCAGGCCTCTTGGAAACGTCGTGCAAGCCTTCTTGGAGGCTCTTTTGGGGGCCTCTTAGGGCCTCCAGGAGGCCTTCTGGAGAACGGGAGAAAGAGGAAAGCGAGAGAGAGAGAGAGAAAGAGAGAAATGGGGGACTGGAGAGCATGGGATGGAGGATACGGGAGCACTTTGTGGAACACGCTCGCGCCAGGCGAAGATAGGGAGGGAGGGGACAACTTGAAAAAGACTGGATGTTTGGACTTTACCTTTTCGCTTCAAGTGAGGGGCATCTTCAATTGGGGAGACGGGGAGCGGGGCGAGGAAGGAGTGAAGGAGAGATACGGAGGAGGGGAAAGGAAGAAGGACGGAGCGGGGAAGAGGGAGGGGTAATGGGAGAGGGGAGGGATGAGGAGAGAGGAGCCTTCGAAGAAGGCCACAATCTCGCGCCGCCCCCCTCTGCACACCGCCAAGGAGGAGTCAGAGGAAGGCGGATGGCGGGGGGCCGCCCAAGCCTCGAGACCTCGAAAGTTCTCAGCCAAATGAAGGCCGAGGACGTCTTCAATCTGGAGTCCTGCATCATGCTTCCAGAGGGCTCGCCGGGAGCATGATGGCCTGGGCCGTGCTACGGCCCCCGTGGAGGGTGTCAAGGGAACCCGGATGAGGCTGCAAAGCCCGAAGGACGGCCCTGCGGATGTTTTCCGAAATCTCGATGGGGGGGGGACGAGGAGGTGAAGTTTGGAAGTGAGATGGGCGATTTGTGAGGTAAAGGGACAAAACAGTAGGAGCTGGGAGCGCCACGAAAAGGAAGGTGAGATTGAGCGTAGGGGGCTTACGGAAGAGACCACGATAGCCGTCGGCCCGTCCCGCGTGGGCCATAAGCCTGCAGGATGTTCGGTAGAATGTCGAGCGAGGCCTGGCGGGGGTCTCTTGGGTGGCATTGTTTGCCTCTTGGAAGCCGTTTTGGAGCCGTCTGGGGCGTCGTGGGAGCCTCTTGGGGCCTTTGGCTGGGGCGTGCTTGCAGAGCCTTTCTGTCTTCCTCGTCGTGGTGCCACACTGCCGACTCGAACTGCGTATAGCGGTACCAGACTGCCGAAAAGTGCAGCGTATAGTAGTACTGCGTATAGAAATGCGGCGTATGGTGCTGTGCCCTCGGCGAGCGCCAAGCCCACAGGCGCTGGCGTGCGCTCACGTGTGCGGCCAAAGTGGGTGAGGAGGGCGGCATAGGTGATCGGCTCAGAGTCGAACTCGATGCGGACTGCGTCGGCGTCGGAGTGCCCGTCCCTAGGTTGCACGCTCTCGCGCGTGGGCTTCATCTGCGTGTTGACGCCAGTGTAGCCGACCGTGAGCTTCAGGACCCCGCCCACCGCGTCAAACAGCCTCCCCGACGACCAGAAACAGCCCGTCGAGAAATGGCACCTCCTGGCGGCCGCGGCCGGCGCAGGGCCCGCCCGAGCCGCTCGGCTCGAAGGCGCGGTCCTAAAACAGAGCTAGGATCAGGATAAATCGCTCCAGAGCGTTCCGGAGCGCTCTCAGAGCGTTCCGGAACGCTCTGGAGCGGCCGCGGCGCCCAATACATCCTCGAAGCCCGCCGACTCTCAGAGACTTCGAGTTCTCCCGATCCGATTTTCGTCGTTTGACGGTCCTCCTCCTGGAGCCGCCGCGGCCGGCCCAGCGAAGGCCGCCAGGGCCAGGTGCCCGCGCCACGCGGCCGCCAGGGCTGCGCCAGCAGCTGCCGCGGCCGCCCCGCGGCGGTCGCGGCAGCGGCAGGCCATGCCCGCCTCGCGGAGCGCAGCGGCCGGCCTGGCAGGCGAGCGGCGGCGCGGGCCGGCTGCGCGATCCAGGGCCACAGAGATCGGCGGTGGACAAACCTCCCTTTAGTAGACCTCCCCCTAGTGAAAACGGCCTGGGGCCGAAATCGACGGACCTGGACCCGCAAAAATGACGGCCGCGACGCCCTCTCGCGAACCGAAAACGGCCAATTCACTAATCGACGTGTCAGGCTATGAGGTCTGTCCACCCCCGAAGAGAGCACTCGAGCCTCTGGAGCCAGACTCTGGCCTCTTGGGCCGTCCTGGATTGTCGGAAGCTCGACAAGTGGAGAGCCCTCAAAACATTGGAAAACCGAGCGGCGATCAAACATGTTTGCCTCCCGTGGCACCCCGCTGGGGCCTCGGGCGCCCACTGGAGCCTGCCCCGGGGCCGTCCTGGCGCGGGCTGACAGCCTTCGGAGGCCGTTCACAAGCTATCTTCGGCGCTCTCGGGTTAGGTCGGGCATGTCCTCCTACAGGCGGATTTTGAGCGAAAGCTCAAACATTCAACAACAACAACAATTATTCACTGCGTGGGGATCCCCATATGTGCATCTCCTTGCTGGCGCTCCCTTGGTGGTGGGACTCGGTGAGGACGAATCTGGATTTAAGTGTGACTGAGCTGCCTCTCTCTCTCTCTCTTTCTGCTCTCTCTGTCTCTCTCTCTCTCTCTGCCCTCTCTCTGTCTCTGCCTCTCTTTCCCTGCCTCTCTCTCTCTCTCTTTCTGCCTCTCTCTCTGCCTCTCTCTCTCTGCCTCTCTCTCTCTCTCTGCCTCTCTCTCTGTGCCTCTCTCTCTCTGCCTCTATCTCTGCTCTCTCTCTCTCTCTCTCCTCTCTCTCTTCTCTCTATTCTCTCTCTGCTCTCTCCTCTCTCTCTCACTCTCCCTCTCTCTCTCTCTCGCTCTCTCTCTTCTCTTCTCTTCTCTTCTCTCTCTCTCTCTATCTCTCTCTCTCTCTCTCTCTCTCTCTCTCTCTCTCTATCTCTCTCTCTCTCTCTCTCTCTCTCTCTCTCTTTCGCTCTCTCGCTCTCTCTTGCTCTCTCTCGCTCTCTGTCGCTCTCTCTCGCTCTCTCTCTCTCTCTCTCGCTCTCACTCGCTCTCTCTCGCTCTCTCTCGCTCTCCCTCGCTCTCTCCCGCTCTCTCTCTCTCTCTCTCTCTCTCTCTGCTCTCTCTCTCTCTCTCGTCTCTCGCTCTCTCTCTCTCTCTCTCTCTCTCTCTCTATCTCTCTCTTCTCTTCTCTTCGCTTCTCTTCTCTCTCTCTCTCTCTTCTCTCTCTCTCTCTCTCTCTCTCTCCCCCCCCCTCTCTCTCCACTTTCTCTCTCTCTCTCTCTCCTCTCTCTCTCCCTTCTATCTCTATCTCTCTCTCTCTCTCTCTCTCTCTCTCTCTCTTCTCTCTTCTCTCTCTCTCTCTCTCTCTCTCTCTCTCTTCTCTCTTCTCTCTTTCTCTCGCCTGTCTCCTCTCTCAACTCTCTCTCTCTCTCTCTCTCTCTCTCTCCGCTCTCTCTCTCTCTCTCTCTCCTCTCCCTCTCTCTCGCTCTCTCTCTCTCTCTCTCTCTCTCTCTCTCTCTCTCTCTCTCTCTCTCTCTCTCTCTCTGGCGACTAGGAGGCCCGGGTCGACTCCTCTTTGGGAAGCCAAAATGCTGCCCCTGGCAGCGTTTGGTGACTATGAAGCCCCTGGTGGACCCCCCCTGGGGCTCCCAAATGATGCCCCTGGCAGCGTTTTGTGACCATGAGGCTCTCAAGAGATACATGTTGGGGAGGCCAAACGGCAATTCTAGCTGAGACGTCCCACCAAAATCGGCGCGAACGGGCTCGTGAGATCAGCCAGGGTGGCTCCCCCTTGGGGCTCCCAAATGATGCCCCTGGCAGCGTTTTGTGACCATGAGGCTCTCAAGAGAGACATGTTGGGGAGGCCAAACGGCAATTTTAGCTGAGACGTCCCACCAAAATCGGCGCGAACGGGCTCGTGAGATCAGCCAGGGTGGCTCCCCCTTGGGGCTCCCAAATGATGCCCCTGGCAGCGTTTTGTGACCATGAGGCTCTCAAGAGATACATGTTGGGGAGGCCAAACGGCAATTCTAGCTGAGACGTCCCACCAAAATCGGCGCGAACGGGCTCGTGAGATCAGCCAGGGTGGCTCCCCCTTGGGGCTCCCAAATGATGCCCCTGGCAGCGTTTTGTGACCATGAGGCTCTCAAGAGAGACATGTTGGGGAGGCCAAACGGCAATTTTAGCTGAGACGTCCCACCAAAATCGGCGCGAACGGGCTCGTGAGATCAGCCAGGGTG